AAAAAAACATACCACAAACCATGTTTGCAATATCGTATACGATATTTGCATTTTGTGCATGGGACTTTCAAGAAATATGACAGCAAATGGTTGGGAGAGAAACGAATCGACATCGATTACAATACATCGGTTTGTGAAAATTAAGGTACCCCACACACTTTATATATGCTCTTCCACCATTGTGCACACCATAGACTGCAACACATTATGTAATACATTTAATAATTTAACTTTTAAGCTGTGAAATTAGAAAAACTATAAGAACTACATACAGACTAATTTATACTCACTACCACAATCATGATATCACCTATGTTTACGAAATTAGCGATACAGTGCAGGGCATCGAATTAGCCCCACATGAATAAGAATACGAATCAAATCGTTAATATCACTAAAGTTATCGAGTTTTTCGACGCATAACTTCGAAAGTAGCCACCCAACCAAAAAAAATAAAAATATATATATGTATGTACATACAAAGAAAGAGTTGGAGCGGAAACTCGGCCTTTCCTCCCGATCACATCCGGGGATCGGAAACTTGGGCTTTCCGACCCAACTTAATACCAGCAAATACCACAACGTGGATCGGAATCTCGGCCTTTCCGACCACGTTCAAATTATTAAAAGCGTTGCGGAGCGGAATCCAGGCCTTTCCGCCCGCAGCGCATACATCAGCGACAGCATCAGTGTAGACTGGAGACTCGGCCCCGCCAGCTACTTACAATACATAACTATATCAAATACATAATTTTATCTAATACAGTATCAAGGTAGATTAGAGACTCGGCCTCGCCAGCTACTTACTGCCGGAATTTATTATACATATGTGCAAAGAAATGTTTAACCATGTCCTTTCGTACTAACCTTCTTTTTTCCAATATCCAGGAAGCCGAATACAATTTATATATATTTTTAAAATTTATTTGTTAATGTAGGTGTGGTGGTTGAATGGCTCGACAAATGTTGCTTATATGCCGGCCCCATGTTTAGGCCACTAGCCTAAACCAAACTTTGAAAGAGTGAACCACCCTATTTTGTAAGCGCACACATATATATATATATATGTAAGCGCATACAATTATGCACATATACAGCGCTGCAGGACTATTTTCCCGCCAAATTATATAACTAATTAGCTGAATTATACCTCAATAAATTTCGCTGTTTTGAGGGTTCGGCTAAATCCGTCAACAAATGGCGCGGTCATTCCATTTTGATCACTATCGAGCGAGCAAGGACGCCTATCAGCTACCACCCTTCAGCACACCGTAAAGGTAATATTGTTACACTTATATTCATATTAAAACCAAAGAACTTTGATCAAACATTTAGCAAGTACTTATTAATTTAACCGTGTGTCTTTTTTCTTGCGTTATTACATTAAAACATTGATGCCCTGCTGGAATTGCGAGCCACATATGCGTCAATGTTTCCATTATGAATAGACTTGACTATTGCCTCTGGAGTGACATTGTTGAAGGCCCCGTCGACATCGAGGAAGGCCCCTACTGCGTGAAGGCTTCCTCTGACCACCTTAGCAATGCGTGCAGGGTGGTGTCCACCGAACTTGCAGTAAGCATTTTGAGCTCTTGAAAGATAGTCACGAGGAATTGCGTTTCTTATGTACAGGTCTAACCATCTCTATAGCGGTTTTAGCAAAAACGAAGACAGACTGATACTCCTAAAATCACTAGCAGAAACATAAGAGCCTTCTCCGGCCTTCGGGACGAACGCAACACTGACTATCATCCAAGCCTTGGGAATGTACCCGGTCCTCACGCAGTTCGCAAGTATGATGTCATCGGTCCCAGGCTTGGTTGAACGAATTTATCGCCCAGGCCATGTGACAGTCGTCCGGAAGATCGGAGAACTGCAGGACCTGAAGTACAAAATATTGCAAAGAAGTACATTTGACTGTACTTCGAAGTACGAAGTACAAGAGCTAAAAAAGAAGCACTGTACTTCCGAAAGAAGCACGGTTGGTCACATTAATTATGAAGCTCGATTGGAGAGGGTAGTAATGAAGTACGACAAAGAGCTAGTTGTAGAGTTTTTGGAACATGTTGCCCAAAATGTTTATTTTTGAAAACACGTTATAAATTTTGCCTATATGTATATATGTATGTGGAGAAATTACGAATGAAAAGTATGTTTATGACATTGTGCTGAAAATATAAATATAAGACAATATAATCATATGTATAAATTTCTATCCGGATGAGTTTGTATTGGGACGATATTTATTGGGTTGAATTTACTGGGATGAGTTTGTATTGGGATGACGTTTTTTGGGTTACATTTTCCGGGATGAGTTGTTTTGGGATGAGTTCTCTGGGCTGAAATTACCTAGAACCGTACGTAGTGCAGAGGGCAACCGCTCTGCTGTTGAGAGGTAGATGTCGTATATAGGAACTTTGCAAAGCAAAGGTTTTATAGCTAAAAATGGTGTTTGGACACACAACATTGCAAGTTGATAAAAGCGTTGTAATAATATAAAGCTACAACAAAATGGGCACAGAAATAAAATGTAACATCTGAGGCCTTTCAGTCACCGCGGCCACCTCTGCGCGACCTCTAAGGATTTGGATGAAAGTTGAAGAGATTGAAGGTCTAGGTAACATGAATATATGTCCAGCATATTTTTCCGATATGACGTAGAGTTCCCTATTTACACGGGACTTAAATTTTAAGAATACGTCATACATAACTTTTTGAAGTACGGTGTCTTTGAAACCTTTTAACGAAACTTAATGGTATTTCTTCCGTCTTATTATGGGCTCTGATTGTACATTTTTTACATTAATGTGCAACGTAAAAAAAACCAAAAAAAAAAAACATTTTCCTTTTTATTTTTTTTTTTTGTTGAATATAGCAACGGGCGCAGGCCCGTTATCCCTGAAAACGAAATTTGCGCTTTCGCGGCCGTCACCACGGCGCACGCAAACAAACACCATGAACTTGGCGACGCCCCTATTGTGGTAATTTCCTTACTATTTTTCGTTTTGGCACGAATATACCTAATTGAGGGAAAAGTCCCCAATGTATTGGCACACCATGGCTAATCAGGTGATTTGATCTTTAAGCTGAGCTTTCAATAACACATCTAGTTTTCGGTAGAGTTCGCTCCTATCGGTTGGAGTGGAAGAAATTAGGGAAAAACAAAGGAAAACTATATTGAGGCCAGAACGCGACAACATAACCGCCGAAGCAGATTTATAAAAGATTAAATAATAGACGAATGAATTTTCAAATTGTTGAGGGGAGCAGCACTGGACCGCATAACTTCGTTTAGTTTTAACATTTTTGCTATTGGTGATTATACGCATAAACTTTTTTATATATGTATATATGTATTCGCGATTGCGAATGCGAATTTTTGGGATGCGAATGTGCGAATGCGAATGTTAAGTCATCGTTTTTATTACTTAAAAAGTTTGTAAATTATTAGAACACTGAACGAGTGCTTAACCTACACAGTGTTTTAAACTTGTAGTCAAGGTTCAAAATGGACATATTATATTTCAAAAAAAGTAATTTTGGTGCCTTTCCTCCCATGAGACGATTTCTTAGGCCGGCTGCACTAAAAAATTGCTCACTTTGAACGGCGGGTGAGCGCTCAAATATTTGCGGCCCAGTGGTGCGATTCACTACGAGATTTTAACACCTCTTGTTATTGTTAAGTCAGCTAAACGACAATTTTAACAATTTAGCTATTCGGTAAACGTTTCCCTAACAACATTCGTTAGCGCCAAATCAGCGGTTGTCGTTAACGATAACAAAGGCCGCTAATTTGACGACGTCTAGATTGGTGTTGTTAATAAAACGTAAAAGGTACGTTCTACAATTTTTTCGTACAAATGCACAGCACCGCTAGCAAAAAAAATCAAAAATCAAAGGATTTTCAGCATCAAACTTGCACTTTATTGTATTCAAATTTAATGGACTACAAAACTGCATACATAATTCTGTTATTATTCTTAATAAAAACTTGAAGTTTTACGAAAGTTTGTTGAATTTTGTTTAAATAATACACACACACAGAATACACTATTAAAAACAAGAAAAATAAAGTAAATAGCACGAAAAATAGTCCGTTAAAACTTGTCTATATGGATTCCGGTTATAATTTTCCAATAGGGCGTAAAGCAATATAGAAAACTGGAAGTTAAAAGGTTATAAGTCTATTTTTTTAATTTTACAGGATCTGAATATGCCTTGAATTTAAAGGAATTGAATAATTAAATTTTTCAATTTAATACGTGTACATCGCTTGTTAAAAGTATAAATATCATATATGTATGTCCATATTTAAATATTTCTTTATTAATCATCATTACACTAGCATAATAAAATCAGTCCTAAAAATAATTACATATGTACAAAATATGCATACAGTGATTCCTTTCAAATACATAGTATCAATATTTTTAATGTTGAATGTTTTTCGTAAACTTTTTTTTACAGCTGCGAGCAAAATTTGGCAGAAACATTCACAATTATGTTGTTTGCTATTATGTGTATTTATTTATTTTTAATAATTTTATTTTTAATAGTTCCTTCTACTATATAATAACAGAAACCACAAAAATAAAAGTTTCAAAGCTTGCACAAATTCCCACCAAAAAATCAAACTTAAAAAAAATGTTTATAAATATTTCGAACTTTTTATTCAGGATCGTTATAAGATTTACGGGTATGCAGTTTTGTAGCCCGTTCTTTTTTAGTCTGATAAAGTGCAAGTTTCAAGTCGCTAAAAGTTACCGTTGATTTTTTAGAATTTTTTCGTGGAGGGTGTTGCACTTTTTCTTCCATATAAATTGCTTGTCAACTTTGTGCACACACGAGCGCCTAGGCATATGCAACGGATTTGTGGCCATTAGCGGCAGCACAGTTAATGAATCGCACAATCGTTACTGCAAACAACAAAAATTGTTAGCTGACATCTCGACAAGTCGCATTGTTAAAAGTTAGTGAATCGCACTACAGATCTGTCAATTTGCCGTATTTTTTTAGTTTTCCACCAATCGAAAGGATTTTCACCGAGATGAGCCCGTTTTTCTTTAAGATAGACCTTCAATTGAGCTTTTGTTTCACATTTTTTAATGTCTCCAGATTTTCCATCCGAGCCTTTGCTTTCGCTGGAGGAGTCTAAAATTTTTTCTAGGTTGCTTATAGGACTTTTAGCAGTACTTGTTAAAGGCCCATCAATGTTGCTTGATATACTACTTAACCGTTTAGCGCCTGCAGATAAAAGCCGGTTAGTGCCCGCACCCTGGGTTGACAGACTTATGCAGCGTTTTTGCTGCATTTAAAATGCAACATTTAGCACTTTCGAACGTAAGTTTTCGAAGAGCGTTCATGCTATCGCATTTAGCAAATGTACATTTACACGAGTTCGAAATCGTATGCTTTTGACAAATCTCGATCGGCGATAACTGAAACGCAGCTAGCCACTGTATACGCGGAAAAGCAATGTTGCCACCTTTTCTCATTAAACTATGTTCGAATCGTGGAAATTTTGGAATATCACAGGGTTGTTTTTAGCATTATTAAGCTGGCATTTCAGGGTACTATTTTATATATATATAAGGAAAATTTTAAAGTTAGGGGGGGGATCGAGCACCCCCCGCCCCTACCTGGCTACGCCCATGTCTGTACTGTAATGTTATCGGACGGTACTAGCTCTTACTGCCAATATAGGAGTATTACATATCTTAATGCGCCCCACGCTTTTCATTTTCAATCTCATAAATTGTTTATAATGACTTTTGCTAAAATTTCAAAATCAAAAGTTACTTCTTAGTCCATTTATAAAACCACGCATATTAAAAAGTTTTTTTTTTTAAATTTATTTTCTACTTGTTAGTTTTGTCTGTATAAAATTTTGCATATATGTTAGAATAATTCAACGATATTAATAGATTGATGCACACACATGCATATGCATATGTATGTACAAACATACGAGCACCAATTAATTTCATTTAATATACTGATAGGCACTGCCTTGCCCGCGGGAAAAGCTCTTTTAAGCTTTCTATACATTTTGTATAGGCGCGAGCAGAGTAAAACTCTCTCTGCCCAACGCTGATTTAAAGAAATGGCCTGCCGGCCATTTCCGCTGTAGCATACGTAGTGCATAGGGCGACATCTACTTCGCAACCATAGAGGTAGATGTCGCCCTATGCACTAGACTCTTTTATAGGAACTTAGCGAAAGAAAGGTTTTATAGCTAAACATAGTGTCTGGACACACAACATTGCAAGTTGATAAAAGCGTTGTAATAATATACAGCTACAATAAAATGGGCACAGAAAGAAAAAAATACAGGTAGTTTATATGTAAGTCTGGTATATCATAAAATACA